GGCCGCGTCCTCTCATTGCACCAAAGGGAGTGATCGGTTCTCGCCCGAGGCCAGCGCAGCCGACGGTTGCGGGGGTTGTGGGCAATTTTTGTACTTGTACCAGGCGTACGCGCCTGGGTCCCCACCTAAAAAAGACATTGTGTCACATCTCGTCCAAGTGGGGGGGGGGTAGGAAGGAGTTAATACTGTGTGTGTGCGTTGATTAATATCATACTTATTATAAAACCCAGGTTGTGTGTGTGTGTGTGAGTGTGTCTGTACGTTTATATATTGGATTGGATTTCCTACATTTTTCAACCGATTTCAACAAAACTTCACAGGACTACGTAAAATTACCTTGCGGTAGTTCTGACAGCGCCAAAAATTGGAAAAACACAATTGTTTTTGCACGAAATCAATTTGAAAACACGATTAAGAGTCATCGCGAGAATGAAAGGGGGACAACTCATATCGAGTTATACTTATTATAAAACCCAGGTTGTTTGTGTGTGTGTTCGTTTATATATGGGATCGGATTTCCTACATTTTTTAACCGATTTCAACAAAACTTCACTTTTTTTTTGGCAGGTAGTGTTTCTTATTGTCTTGCACGCATTTTTCTTTATTTTTCCATTCAGAATGCTTTAAAAATTCCATTTACAAGACAATTGTTTATAATAAAATTCTATTCAATCGGTAGACTCATAACGATTGAAAACAATGTTTTTGTTTGAGTTTGGGTTTGACCATTTCGTAAAAAAACAAAAAAAAAAACAACAACAAAAACAAACTAATTAAGACATGCGTGTCCGTCAACATTAAACAATAATCTTTGTCAATTTTATTTTTCAGTCTTTATGATGGTCGATACTTGATCTATCTCTTACTGTTACATCCCTGGGCAACGCCGGGCTCTACTGCTAGTCAATTATAAACTCTTTCGTATTGCGTTTATATCATGATATCTGATTTTAAAAGGGAAGTTTTACTTCTTCTCCATGCTTTCGAAAATCAAATCTCTGTTTTTAATAAGATAATGATGCAAATAATTTTAAAGTTATTAATTGACACGAAGTTTTGCCCTTAACGTTCATGGTTTCACTCACCCGTTTGGAAAAAAAAGTTCAAGTAGCAGACAAACAAAAATTCCCAAACAATATTCCAAGCGTCTCACCCAAAGTAACCCCCTGACCCAAAAAGTATAAAACGGGCTCTTAAGTCTTAGTAGTCAGTCTTATGTCAGCAAAATTCAGGCGATTCTTTATATGCTGTGTCCCCTCAGGCCGTGGGCGATGATGACTCTCCACAACTTCCTGCCCCTTGTAGCGCTTAATAAACTTTGTCTTTCTCTTAAGCCCTGTTCTGCCATCCATTTACTCAAATTCACTAAGTATCTTATGCGTTGTTTGCCCCTGTCTATCTTGCCCTCTATCTGTCCCGTGAATACCAGATTTTCCGAACCGTCTTTCCTCATTATGTGCCCTAGAAACTTCAACTGTCTCTTCCTGATGTTAAGTATTAGTTTCCTTTTTGTTTCCATTTTCTCTAAAACTTCGTCGTTACTTACATGTTGGGTTACGTGTCTGTTAAATAATAGTTTTGCAGACTATTGTTTTTTTAGAAGAAGTGTATCTCGGTTCCGACTTCCGGAAGTTGACAGCCGGGGTCAGATGTGAACTATAACAGGGAAGTCGATTTTCATTGACTGAGCTAGCGCGGGAAAGCGATCGGAGGAAAGGTTTTCAGGAGTTGGTTCTTACCCGTCAAGAGATGTACACGTGTTTTCTTTCGTGTCTGCAACGGCTCCCCAGTGTAAGGGGCGTCCTCCAATAGATAGTTAGATGATGTACATGTTAACATGTCAGTGAGCGAAATAAAGGGTTCAGTTCGACATTCCAATCACCCGAAGAAGGCCGGAACGTAAACGGCCGAAACGTTGTGATAAATATGTCAACAAAGATGAGGACAATAGTCCGAATAATGTAAAGAGTGTACATAATACCTAATCTCAGATGCTGTACATGTCAACATGATAAATAAAAATACTCTATTTACATTATTCGGACTACTGTCCTCATCTTTGTAGCCATATTTATCACAACGTTTCGGCCGTTGTACGCTCCGGCCTTTATCCATTGTGCCATGTGTCCTTAAGGAAACATGGCACATGGATAAAGGCGTTAGTTAGATCCAGTGACTGTGAGTTCAATACCCGGTTAAGGCAGTGGAGAACTTGGAGACGTGAATTAACAGGAGATATCTGATAACTGACATCCGTTAGACATGGCACGTGGAACTAGAACAGTCTACCCCAGCGAACGAAATAAAGGGTTCAGTTCGACATTTCAACCACCTGAAGAAGGCCGGAGCGTACAACGGCCGAAACGTTGTGATAAATATGGCAACAAAGATGAGGACAATAGTCCGAAAAATGTAAATAGTGTACATAATACCTCATCTCAGAAATATAGACAGATACTAAATAAAAATAGTTAAGTTAAAATTCTCTGTGTTGCAATCCTTCATTGCTGGACTAAAACGATTGGCGATCATCGGTGGAGAGAAAAAACCGAGCTGGGAGCATTTACTGCTGTTAACATGCAACATGAGTATCAAATTTTCCAAGCTTTCCTTCCTCATTATGTGCTCTGGAAACCCCAGTTGTCTCTTCCTGATGTTAAGAATTTGTTTTGTTTCCATTTTCTCTAAAACCTCGTCGTTATTCCTATGATTCACGGTATCCTCAGCATTCTTCTGTAGAATCATTTTTCTGTTGCTTCAAGTCTCCACTTCATCATTGAGGAGATCGTCCTACACTTACTGTCACATAGCAGAACAGATATCACATAGTAGTTTAGTATCCAAGTTACACAGGGTGGCCTCAAGATTATACCATTACTGTCTTTTATATTTATTTAAATGAATGAACTATCTATCTGGTAATAAATGATACTATATCCCTTGGAAATTTTATTGGTCAAATTACGAAAAACAATGGCATGCACATTTTCTTGAGTTATCGTTTCGCGCATGCGCGTTTTTCCCAATTGCAGCGTGAAGTTCTTTTTTCACCACCCTTTACATAAATAAACTTCCTTATAGAAACGAATCAAGATAAAATAACGATCCCCATTATTCTAAATAATTACGCAGTTCCTTCAAATATATCTTTTTCAATTTTCTTTATACAATATTTCAACAATACAAAGCCCATGAGCCACTCAAAACAGAGGGTTACTGAATGAGGTTGTTGTAAGGGCGGACGGAGAGGAAGTAAGAAGTTCATATTATAAGGATATGTAGGATAGATAACAGTTGGCCCCTTTAATTAAAGATCGTAGTGATCGGCAGGGAGCGCCCTTTTGGTGGTTTGTTCTACAACATAACAGTTCTGGGGAAGAAGCTTAGCAGAACTTCCTCTTTGCAAATGGAATATGAAAGACATGAGGATGAGTAGATTCAGTAGACGAGGAATGGCGGGTCTTATCTGTGAAAGTCTCAGCTGGTGGAACGAAAGAATGTAGCTCGTCTGAATATTTGCTATAAGAATAGCGATGAAGTAGAAAGTGGCTAGCAACGTTTTCGTCTGAAGGATCGAGACTGTTAAAAATAATTAATCGCCAAAGTGGCGCAAATGCTTTTGAATTCTGTCAAGGCTGAAAAGTAAGAACTGAACAGCTCCACTCCAGATATGATAGAAAGACTCCATTTTTTTTGCTCTGGCCTAGTTCTTGCGACGTTAGAACATAATAGGGTGTGTCAGGCAATTTTTTTGAGCGGTACAAGGTGCCGAACAAGGACATCCCACGTTGCGAGCTAGAAAATTCGAGGTTTTCAAAATCAAGCAATTCTGTAAAGTTAGCCATTTGGGAAGTGTTTTAATAGATGTAATGATCATTCAGATCCCTGCGCCATATTTTTTTGTCGTGTGTTTCGACATTAACCACATAAGAAAAATTCGGAAATTAGACTTACTCTCTAATTTAATGCTTTTAATAAATATTTGTTGTAGTACAAAATGGACAATAGTGACAGTGAATGAATGTTTGAACGTGTTTCATCCAGCATACCGTGATATCGCAGTTTACATCAACAGCAAATAATAATAATAATAATAATAATAATAATGGGAAGAAGAAGATGATGGTGAATAGGATGGAGAAATAGAAAATGAAGAAGATGAGGATAAAGAAGAAGGAAAAGGCAGAGGGGAATAATAATAATAATAATAATAATAATAATAATAAGAAGAAGAAGAAGAAGAAGATGAAGAAGAAGAAGAAATCGCCCAGACACCGTGTTCAAAGACCACAAGAACAGAATGAGCTTTCTTATTGACATGACAGTCACTGCAGATTTTAATGTGTCTTTGAAGATCTTCAAAAAGTTATCAAAATACAAGGATCTTGAAGTGGAAATCTAAAAATTATGGCACATGAGGACATCATTGATTCCAGTTTGATTGGAAAATATTTCGGATAGACTCATTGAAGGGATTCCTGGTCGCCCAAGCTTTAGGGAAATACAAAAAAAAATGTACTCACAAGTACAGTAAGTACTTTACGAAGTGGTTTATCTATGTAAAGTGTTTGTGATTCTTGTTTTTTTGTTTTTTTTGTTTTTTTACAAAATTCCTCAGTGGAAAATGTCATGATGCCATTTTTGGTCTTAGGTCTCTGGTTGGAACCCAGGAGGAAATGTGTATACAACAGATATCAAAAGAAATAATAATAATAATACTGATGATGATGATGATGATGATGATGGGGATTAGGATGATGGTATTGACAAAAGATATATACAAACAAAAACAGGAGCTAAAAGATTACGTTGCTGTTGTTGTAGCCCCCTAACCAACCCGTTCCTCTTTCAGACTGGAGTTGAATGCAGTATTAGCCCCCCAGCGGTGGGGGTTTTCAGGCTCCGACTAAAACCGTCTTAATTGTCTTTGTCTTGTCAAGCCCGTAATTAATCGGACCATTATCAACTGACCATTACTGGACATTGCGAAAGCCTGTTAGCCTGCAGAAGATTGAACACACCGGATGGCGATGCTGCCTTCTGGAACGATGCAAAAAGCGTAAATTGGACATGCACATATCCCCCTCCCGATCCGCGTCCACCTTCGCGATTTTTCACTCTTTTAACCTTTCACTCTCCCTCTCTATTCCTATTTCTCCCTCTCTTTCTACCTTTTACTCTCCCTCTCTATACCAATCTCTCCCTCTCTATCCCTATCTCTCCCCCTCTTTCCACCTTTCACTCTCCCTCTCTATCCCAATCTCTCCCTCTTTTTCCACCTTTCACTCTCCCTCTCTTTTTACTTTTTACTCTCCCTCTCTATACTAATCTCTCCCTCTCTATCCCTATCTCTAATTCTTTCCATTTTCACTCTCCCCTCTATCCCAATCTCTCCTCTTTTTCCACCTTTCACTCTCCGTCTCTATTCCTATTTCTCCCTCTCTTTCTACCTTTTACTCTCCCTCTCTATACCAATCTCTCCCTCTCTATCCCTATCTCTCCCCCTCTTTCCACCTTTGGCTCTCCCCCTCTATCCCAATCTCTCCCTCTTTTTCCACCTTTCACTCTCCCTCTCTATTCCTATTTCTTCCTCTCTTTCTACCTTTTACTCTCCCTCTCTATCCCAATCTCTCCCTCTTTTTCCACCTTTCACTCTCCCTCTCTATTCCTCCCTCTCTTTCTACCCTATCTCTCCCCCTCTTTCCACCTTTCACTCTCCCTCTGTATCTCTCCCTCTTTTTCCACATTTCACTCTCTCTCTTTCCCTATCTCTCCCTCTCTTTCCACCTTTCACTCTCCCTTTCTGTCCATCTCCCTCCTTCTCTTTCCACCTTTCACTCTCCCTCTCTATCCCTATATCTCCCTCTCTTTCCATCTCTCCCATCTATTTCTCACGAATGCACACAAACGAGTATACATGTGCAAAACGAATACACGCACACACACATATATACACAGTAACACATGTAGTAACACATATATAAGGACGACCCTCAGTGATTAAAATGCTTGTCTCGCAAGCTCTTGGGAATGAAGTCAAGTCCACTTGACGGCTTGCTCACCAAATCCCTATAAATATACTCAAGCATCAATCAGTCAATATTGCATAATAAATTAATAATAACATCCCAAGTAAGGTGATAAAGCTACTAAGACGTAAGAGGTTACTGGATGTGAAAGAATATGTGAGAAAAAAACATTAAGCTGAGAGGTCAATAAAAGAACAGATATTAGGAAGACAGTAGATAACGATTGACGTTGCATTTAAATTTTCGTAGATCAAAGTTGATTAAAAGGCAGGAAGCGAAAATACAGTTCAAAAGGCGAGAAAGGCGGGAGAAGAAACTGTTAGCATAGAACTTACGGTTATATATAGGTATTTCAACTGTAAAATGGTGAGACCTTTCCTCCAATCTAGTACTGCGCTCACATTTATAAAGTCTATGTATCAAGGAGGAAAGCACACCAGAACAATTAGCATGGAAATACTTATAGAAAAATAAACAGGGAAGCCATATTATGGCTTTGAGAACAGGACTGAAGTCGATATATATATATATATATATATATATATATATATATATATATATATATATATATATATATATCGTTTTAAAATTATCATCAACGACACAGCCTGTAAATAACCCAACATTCTTTCTAGATTAAAGCTACATATGTAAATATTAATACAGATCTTATCATCCTTCAACGTCATCTTTTCAGAATGCGTCCCACTTGACTACACTACCACGTATCATTCTGTTTGGAGAACTCGACACCGGTAAGAGGCTAAACGGAGGCCCAAAATGATTCTTCAAGGATCAGTTGAAAACATCTCTGGCAAAGGGCACTGAGACCTGGGAAACCGTTACGGCAAATCGGCCTTCCTGTCATTGGATCATCCGAATGGGGACTGAGACTTTCGAATCCTACCGTCAACGAAGTGGATCTGCGACATGCTATTAGGAAGACCCGACACGCCGACCCACACTCCTCACGTCTCTCCAGGAGTAGGCTTGGCCTTCACAGCCATTTCCGTCATAAGGAAATAAGGATAAAGATGTCGATCCCAGTTCTCGGATGAGAGCGGGTGCTGACAACGAATGCAGATCTAATACAAAATACCCAATAGAAACATCCTTTATATTATTTTCTTTTTATGCGCCATTTCCTTTCGGGACGTAGGCGAACATGGCTCTCCACCTCCCTCTATCCCTTGCAGTTCTCAACAAGTTCCTTCCCTCTGCCATCTCTCACAGACCACGTTCTGTCACCCATCCGCTCAAGACCGCCAGGTATGTTACACACCGCTTTCTCTTACCTGTCTTTCCCGCTCTTCGACCCGTGAGTATCAGATTCTCCAGGCCCTCTTTCCTCATTACGTGTCCCAGAAACTTCAGCTACCTCTTCTTGGTGTTAAGCATGAGGCTCTTCCTTGTCTACATATTCTCTAAGACCTAATTGTTGCTTACATGCTCGCTCCATGGTATCCTTAGCATCCTTCTGTAGAATCACATCTCCGTCGCCCCGAGTCTCTTCTTCATCCTTGAGCAAATAGTCCAGCATTTGCTGCCGTAAAGAAGAACAGATGTCACGTAACAGCTCAGTATCTTTTTCTTTGTTAAAAAGAAATCCTTCTTTCTCGCAATACTCTGTCCATCTTTTGAAATGCGTCCTTGGCCATCTTATTACTACCCGAATAACCGGCCAACTGTCAGAGAACAGTCAATTGTAATTAAAGTTCACTTAACTCTATAATATTTCTGTGTAGCCAGCATTTTCAGCAAAACATATGAAGTTTCTTTTGTCATGATGCCAAGTTCACTTGAATTTCCTGTTCTGGACATAGCTACAGAAAGCTGACCATGTGAGAAACGTTTTTTAATGTTTAATAATACAAATTAATCTTTTCACTTGTTTTATTCAGTACAATTTTTAGAAAACCTAATTAAATATTAGGTTGGTGCAAAAATAATGTCGTTTTTTGACGTTCAACTTCAAAAGATCATAACTCCTTTCATAAACTTTATTAATCGAAATAAGAACCATTAGAATCGACACATTTTTGCCAACGAGAAGCAAGTCTATTTATCCCATTAGCATAGAAATCCGGAGTTCTGGAAGCGATGAAGTCGTTGAAGGCCGATTCAGCATCATCTCGGCTTTTGAAGCATTTTTCGCGCAGGAAGTTGTCGAGATGCTTGAAAAAATGATAATCGGTGGGCGAGAGGATCCACTTCTCATCACACGTCACAATCCGCTCGAGAAATGGGTCGTTTTTGTTGCGCAGAAGGAGCGTAGAAGACACCTCAAAAGGACGATTTTTTTGATTATCGTTCAATTCATGCGGCACCCATTTATCCAACTTTTTTGACTTCCCTATTTGCTTTAAATGGCGAACGACTGTTGAGTGGTCGACCTCGAGTTCAACAGCAATTTCTCGTGTGGTTTTGCGAGGATCGGCTTCAATTAAGGCTTTCAAATGTTCGTTATCAACCGCAGTCGGCCAGCCGCGACCGTCTTCATCTTCGAGGCTCTCGTCACCATTGCGAAATTTCTTGAACCACCGTTGTGCCACACGTTCGTTAGTGGTTCCTGGGCCAAACGCATCATTGATATCACGAGCTGTCTCGGCAGCTTTTTGGCCTAGTTTGAACTGGAACAAGAAAATCGTGCGGATTTGAATTTTGTCCATGCTGTCGAAAAGCCTGCAAAAAATGAATGAAGAGATTGAGAACGGTAACGAATAACACGATTCGATAGAGCGAAAAACGCGCTTCAAAATGATATATAACATGGCTATATATATATATCAATGAATTAATTCAGAAATCATATATAAAAGTAACATATGTGAGAAAACGACATTATTTTTTGCACCAACCTAATAACTTATTTCAACATATTCAGATAATTCAGTAATTTTTTTCGTCTATATTTCACTAATTTGGCAACAATAATTACTACAAACGGTGCAGGGAATCCGATAGTAACTAACGTTGCCGGACTTAAAATTATAGAATCCTATAAACATTTTATTACTTAAAAAAATTGTCTACTCTATTTTGCTTTTTAAACAGTTTTCTGGTGTTCTTGAAGCCTTATCTTAAGGGGATGGCCTGTCTCCCCTTTATATTTCTTTCCGAAGCTGCTCGGTATAGCGTACACACAGTCTTTAGTCATGTTCTCCTCTATGGGGGAGTGTCTTACTCGGGAGAGATATCTGCGAAGTGTCGTCAAGCTTTTGATGGTTGTCCTGATGTTATATGGACCGCAGATCCTTTGTATTTTCTCTGATAACCCCTTCACATAAAGCAGGCAGACTGTTTTCTGAGTGTTGTTGTCCTCCTCTTGTACCCGCCTATCCCAGTTTTTTGGGGCTGATGCCATGTACCGAGGGTAGATGTTACGTTGTAGGGTACTACTTATACTGACCAATTCTTTATCTAATGTCTCTGGGCCACCACTTATGACTTTTGCTCGGTGTTGTAAGCAGCGGACGATCCCTTTCTTTACGCTGTGTGGATAGTGGGAGTTGAAATTGAGGTACTGTCCGGTGAATGTTGGTTTGCGGTATACGGATGTCTTGAATCAATGCTCTGTTGTACATCCAGGAAAGGGAGTGAGTTTCTCCATTGTGAACTGTATCGAAGGTCTTATTGAGTTCACATGGTCCAGTAGAACCTGAACATCTTCCTGGTGTGGCCAGAGTATGAAGGTGTTATCTATGTACCTTAATCATATAGTTGGCTTTAGAGATTCTAATGCCATATATACTTGTGTAAACTACAGCTAAATACCTGAAAAAGAAGTTTCGACAAATTTGGACCCGCAAAAAATATGGAGTGTCAAAAGCATACATTTTCCCTTGTCACTGCCATTATTTCAACTACCTGCAATCCTCGGCAAAATTTGTTATTAATAAATAAATTTGTTATTAATAAATAAATAGCTATTAATATTTTGAAATTCTTATCAACCCTTTTTAAAGATAAAAGGTTTATAAGAATTGCAAAATATTAATAGCTATTTATTTATTAGATTGGTTTTTTAAAAGGATAATTTTATATATACAATATTCTAAAAACTAATACAATTGTATTAAAAAACTAATGCAATATTTATACTTTACCAATTTATAAAGAAATACATATGAGAATAATATTTTATTCAAAAATTTATAAACTTCTAAAATATTGGAATATGTGAATCAACTATAAGGAAATCCTTATTATTTACCATTTTATTAAGTTCGAAGCGATTGGCAATTAGCCCATGAGTTGCCAACCATTCCAATAAATAATATAATAAATAAATAGTGTGTATTATTTTTGTTGTTAGTTCTCAAGAACAACGAAAATGCATAAAATGGCCTTCATATATTAAGGTTTTGTTACAATTCCAACCGTTGCTTTTTAAAACATTAAACATTGCTGAAGAGTGAAGAGAAAAACCGCACTTTTGACACTCTTTTTGGCGGCTACGAAGGTCCAAATTTGGGAAGTTTCATTAACTCCACCTTAGCTTGGAAAGTAGAAGTTTTTTTCCTTCCAAAATGGGAACTCTATTGAATAATCGACAACTAAACTGGTTCCCCCACTCTACTCCATTTGGTACAAGAAGGGTGCTTAGAAACCCCGTGATATGAAAAATAAGACCTATCGAAGGGCGGAAGATCTCTCGATGTGTCAACCACCGGCTAATCCAAGTTGGTGTCTCAATAAAAACACCGTGGAGGAGGCAACGGGAAATCACTCAATTACCTATCCCTTGAATAACAGTGGCGATATAATTTCTCGTTCAGTAAAGGAATACATGTGTTGTCAGGTGTCACCTGATTGTCATATAGCGACTGTTCCCGAAACGAATATAAAGTATAACAGCGTGAAGGATGTTAACTTCCTTTGGAAAAGACTCCTCATCTGGTAAGGACAGGCATAAGCGACAGGTGTCACCGGGCAGTTATCTAGCGACTGTTCGCAAATAATAATCAGGACCTGAAACGTAAGGACGTTATACCAATGTGACTCGCTTGAAAACATTAAGCAAGAAATGAACAGATTAAATGTCTACATTCTAGGCGTATGCAAAACTAGGTAGGCAAGTAATGGGGATTTTGTAAGCGGTACACATAGGATAATACATGAAGGCCGAGAGAAAAATGAAATAGCTGTAGGGTTAATATTATAAAATGAGACCAGGAAATCTGTTTTGGGATACTACCAAATCTCAGACAGAATCGTTAGATTGAAAGGGAAACCCTTTAACATAGCAATTATTGTTGTATACGCACCGACAGTGCAGAACACGAGGTAGAAATCAATAATTTTAACAAATCTATAGACAAATCCGAGTCTTTATGTAAGTTATAGAAATCAATATCGAAAAGTGAGGCCTGAATGACAAATTCGAAAAAAATAAATCGGAAAAGTAGGCAAGTTCGGACTTAGGTGCAATGAGTGACACACGCTTAGACAATCATGTATCTTTCGATACATGACTGACGAGGAAGATTTTTTCCCGCTGTAGGTTGCCCTTTCTTTTTGCGGTAGACCAGTTGTCATCCAAGGCTATAGAACCATGTCTGATCTGTTATTTGCCCAAAGCTTGGGGTGGGGGAGGAAGAGGATTCATACCTTTCCCAAGGGTCAGTCAGTTATGTGCCATGAGTGATACACGCTTAGGTGATCATGTATCGAAAGATACATAACTGACGAGGCAGATTTTTTCCCGCGGTAGGTTGCCATTTATTTTTACGGTAGACCAGTTGCCATCAAAGGCTAAAGAACCCGGTCTGTCCTGCTATTTACCCACAGCTGGTGGGGGAGGAGAAGAAGAGGATTCATACCTTTCCCAAGGGTATTTGCACGTAAGTGAATGTAATGGATTCAAATGGAATTCGAGCTCAGCTCTCTGATTCCTCAATCCAAGCCGCTCGGACTAGGATCCTGAAATGTTCACGACAAGGGACGGGTTCAATCGTGCAGAAGACATGATCAATATCTCGTTCCAGGAGCATCTAAGATGCGTCGGTGGACATGGAGAAGCCCGGGAGGAGACAAAAAGAACCCGGGATTGATTATGCAACTATCAACAAATTTTTCAGAAACGCTGTTTTACATTGCAATATATATCCAAGTGCGGACTGCGGGAGCGACCATCTTCCTGTTGTGTGCTATATCAGAATAAAACTACGGAAACTAAAGAAGAACATCGCATTGCTTCAACTCTCATTCGATGGATACAAGTTGCAAGGCGTCACACAAAAACAGAGTTATAAACAAATATCAATCAAAGTGGAAATAGCTGGGAGAAACATTATTGACGTCAGCGAATTCGATCATATAAAGGAAAACAGGACAAGAAAGGAACGTGTGGATGACAGAGTAAATTGTAAAAATTATTAAAAAGTGACAACAAACAATGCCAAGAAAAGGAAAAGAGTACCGAACACTAAACGCGGAAATTAAAAACAAATGTAGGTAAGCTAAAGAGGAATGAAAAATGGCAGAATAGAGAGGATGTGCAACACAAATAAATCAATGAGAATATCCCAAAGGGAACCAATAACAAAAGGGTTAGTGGATGAAAGAGGAAATTCTAAAAATTATGAAAAAGTGACAACAAGCAATGCCAAGAAATGGAAAAGAGTACCGAACACTAAGCACAGAAATGAAAAACAAATGTAGGTAAGCTAAATGGCTCAATGAAAAATGGGCAGAAATAGAGACGGTGAGCAACACAAATAGGTCAGTGAATGCTGGACTGTTGTGGCTTGTTAGGGGCCAGAAAGAAAGACACGGAAAGAAGAGGGTAGGTTGGACAAGTGTATTGAAATAACAGAGAACATATATACAAAATAAGAGTGTTATTAGTTAGCAGATAGAAGTCCCCGTCCGAAATGTCAGGTTACACTGCATCCCAACTGCCTATATTTAACAGTCCCCCCACGAGGAATGTATGTGGCACAAGGCCGAGTTTAACGTGGGTTTTTCCGAGCCTGTAGACTCGGCCAAAAATATTTCCTTAGAACCCGCATAAGCGGGTTCGGGATCTGTCTAGATCCCCGGACGAAACTTTGCCCTTCGGCAAAGCCTCGTCCGGGTTCCTCTCTGCCAAAGCAGAGAGTTCGACAAAAGTCGCACGCAGTTAGAGACTGTGGGTTGACTGCCTGCCTTCGGAAGTCTCGCAGGTTAGTATTTATGAAGGATGAAGACTTCATTCTAATGTAGATAGGTCACCATAACAATTGTTAATCGCTATTTTCTGCCCCCTGATTAAACTTTTCTAATGTTTCTGTTCCTAATCCTCCATACTCTATAACCCCTGTAACCCCTTGTGTGTTAGTACCGAACACTAAGCACAGAAATGAAAAACAAATGTAGGTAAGCTAAAGAGGAATGACTCAATGAAAAATGGGCAGAAATAGAGACGGTGAGCAACACAAATAGGTCAGTGAATGCTGGACTGTTGTGGCTTGTTAGGGGCCAGAAAGAAAGACACGTAAAGAAGATGGTAGGTTGGACAAGTGTATTGAAATAACAGAGAACATATATACAAAATAAGAGTGTTATTAGTTAGCAAATAGAAGTCCCCGTCCGAACTGTCAGGTTACACTGCATCCCAACTGCCTATATCTCAATTAAAAAAAATAAAAAAAATATGGGTATTTTTTTATATAAAAATATATTGCTAGTAATTTTACTATAGAAATGTAATGCACGTATTTTTTTTTTTTATAGTGTTTTGTTTTTATTTGTGGGTTTCACTATTTGTCCATAGCTGGGACCGTAACAGGTGCTACCACACCAGGTCAGTGTGGATCTGAGAACAGCAGTAATTAAGAGATGGTTCTATGCTCATTAAAACCTCCTATCTCCCAATCAGAATTCTATAAATACTTTCATGGTAACTGTTCCAATGAGTTCTTGGTTATGGTACCCAGACTGAATTTAAGTGATATTTCATCAATTTACGGTTGAGCTTCATAGATGTATCCATAACTTCTAAACTAACAGTTTCTTTTCTCACACATCTCACTTGTGGAACTCCCTTCCAGCTCCATGCTTTCCGGACAACTTTAACCTACAGAAATTTAAATGCACTGTTGTTGTGGCCTGTTAGGGGCCAAAAAGAAAGACACGGAAAGAAGAAGGTAAGTTGAATAAGTGTATTGAAATAACAGAACATATATACAAAATAAGAATTATTAATTAGAAGATATAAGTCCCCGTCCGAACTGTCAGGTTACACTGCGTCACGATTGCCTCTATATTTAACAGTCCCCACCACGCGGGATGTATGTGGCACAACGCCGAGTTTAACGTGGGTTTTCCGAGCCCGTAGGCTCGGCTAAAAATATCCCCACAGAACCCGCATAAACGGGTTTGGGTCTGTCTACCTCTCCGGACGAAACTCTTCCCTTCGGCATAGCTTCATCCGGGTTCCTCTCTGCCAAAGCAGAGGGTTCGATAGAAGTTACACGCAGTCAAAGACGGCGTTCCGACTGCCTCTACTTGGGAAGTCTCGCAGGTTAGTATTTATGAAGGAGAAAGAGTTTATTCTAATGTAGATAGGTCACCATAACATGGAGTTTCTGCCCATGGATGTGGAGAAAACTAGAAGCAACAGAAATGTGGTTCTACAGAAGGATACTGAGAATTCAATGGACGGAGCAAGTAAGGAGGAAACCTTAAAGAAATGTCAACAAAAAGAACAGTTATGCTCAGAATCAAGAAAAAAGTCGGAATTCCTTGGACTCATGATAAGGAAGGAGGGCTTGGATAACTTAATTCACTTAGTTATATTTAAGACAAGCTCGTCAGGTAAGTGGCTCGCTGCCATTCCGTATCTCTCTTCAGGATACGGAATGGCAGCGAGCCACTTACCTGACGAGCTTGAGTCAATGGATGGCGGAACGTGGGTTGGGAGCGTTAGCAAAAAGGAAAAAAACTGCTATGGGTCACAGAAGATAGGAAGTTGTGGAGAGCCATGATCACCAATCTCCTGAAGGAACGGGGTTCATAGAAGAAGAAGAAGAATGTAAATTAGAGACACACAGACAAAATATAGCCTTCCGCGAATTTATAAAAACGCCAGTGCCCATAACTCTTAACGTTACTAGTTTTAATCTAGTCACTGTTCGTCTTCAGGTCTGAGTCCATCTGGACGCCGGTCAGTGCTGCTTGTCGGACGATTATCTGCGCCAACCTCCTGCCTTGGTGTACTCATAATTCATTCGTTTAAATGGTCGGAGTGGCCAGGATGTTGTCTAGGGACATTAATGGCAAAAACACGTGGCCATTAGCCAGCACTCTGATCATAATTTACAGTTCTTCACTCAACCCTGAACTGTTCCGGTCTTCTTTTTTTTTTTTTCGTTAACAAATAACTCCTCATTAGCCTCCATACAGACGCGCACGCCTGGCGCTGTGAATTCTTTATTTCTCTTATATCGTTTATCTACCTTCTCCCCACCTCTCGTTACCTCATTTTCGCGTTATTTCTTTTCATTGAATTCTCTGCCAATGTCTTACGCAATCTTCCTTCTTTGCCAGCTCATCAATTTAGCGTGTTTGAACTCCATTCGCCCTTACTGACATGTTCTTCCTTCCCTAATCGATGTCTGTTAAGATTACTTTTGTCTGCCACAGTTTATTCTTCTTCTTTATATGCCGTGTCCTTTCGGGACGTGGGCGATCGTGGCTCTCCACAATTTCCTGTTCTTTGTAGCTATTAATAAATTTTATCTTTTTGTTATTTCTCCGAAACCTTATCCCGCCATCCATTTACCCAAGTTCTCTAGGTAGGTTATGCTTTGTTTTACACTTGCCTTCAACCTGCCCTGTGAGTATCAGATTTTCCAAACCCCCTTTCCTCATTATGTGTCTTATAAATTTCATCTGTCTCTTCCTGATGTTAAAAATAACTTTCCTTTTTGTTTTCGTTTTCTTTAAATCTTCGTTGTTGCTCATGTATTCGGTTCATAGTATCCCCAGCATCCTTCTGTAGAACAACATTACTGTTGCTTCAAGTATCTTCTTCATCATTGAGGAGATTGTTCAGCATTCACTGCCATATAGAAGGACAGATATCACGTAATGGTTTAGTACTCTCTTTTTTTGTTTCTAACGAAATTTTTCTCTTTCTTAATACTTTGCTTAGCTTTTGGAAGTTATCTTTTGCTACCCCAATACGCCTTCGGATTTCAGTGTCACAATTTCCGTCCTCTGTTAAAACACTTCCCAGATATTTAAATTGTTGTACTTGCTTGATTTTGGGATCTTCAATTTATATAATAAATAATTATATAAAAATGCCTTGCTATTATTTTTAATATTAAAATGTATTTTTATACTTTTATAGTGTTTTGTTTGGGGTTCAATATTTGCCCATAGCTGGGACCCTAACAGGTCCTACCACCCCTGGTCACGGTGAACCTGGGAACAACAGCAATTAAGAGGTGATTCCACGTTCCTCAAAACCTCCAATTTACTGATCCGAAGCCTTGTTGAATGATATAGTTTATCGTAATACCCATGACTAGAGGAGATTTTCAAGGATTCACTGCCACATAGGAGGACAGATATTACGTAACAGTTCAGTACTCTTTATTTTTTTCTAGAGAAGTTTCTCTGTCTCTTAATACTCTGGTTAGCTTTTGGAATGCATTTTGGATATCCCAATGCACCTTCGGATTTCAGTGTCGCAATTTCCGTCCTCTGTTAAAACATTTCCCAGATATTTAAACTGTTTGATTTTTGGATCTTCAATTTGTAATTTGCATGTTGTGCTGTTCTTTTTATTAACAACCATGCATTCTGTCTTCTTGTAATTGATGTTTACTCCTTCACGACCTTCTGCAGAAGTTCTTGTAGTTTCCTTTCTCTGTTTGCTATCAACACTGTGTCATCTGCATATATTATGATGTTAAGATTGTGACCGACAACAATGAAACTTGGTAGGATTTCTAATTCGTTCAAAATCGTCTCATTGTATCCGTTGAATAAGTCTGGTGAGAAGACACATCATTGTCTTACACCCCTTTCTATTTTTGCATATTTACTGATCTCATTTTCTATCCTTTGCTACCAGTATAGGTTCTGGGTTATTCTAATATCCTTCTCAAATATATCAAGGTTACCTAGCTGTTCCAACAGGTCTTTGTGACGTACGTTATCAATCGTAACCCTCTGTCTCGAGTGACTCTTGGGCCTTGAACAGGGTGAACATAATAAGGACAAGGACACAACAAAATTTTTCTCTTTCTTAATACTCTGCTTAGCTTTTGGAAGGCATGTTTCGATATCCCAATGCACCTTCGGATTTCAGTGTCGCAATTTCCGTCCTATGCTAAAACACTTCCCAGATATTTAAATTGTTGTACTTGTTTGATTTTGGGATCTTCAATTTGTAATTTGTATTTTGTTTCTTCCTTTTGCTAAAAAACATGCATTCTGTCTTCTTATGGTTGATTCTTAATCCTTTTTTCTCGTTTCTTTTCACTACTTTCTGTAGGAGATTTTGTAGCTTTCTTTCCGTGTCTGCCATCAACACTGTGTCATCTGCATATCTTAAGTTGTTAAGATTGTGGCCACCAATAATGAATCATGGGAGGATTTCTAGTTCTCCCAGGATCACCTCAATATATAGGATGAATAAGTCTGCATGGCTTGAAAAATATAACGAGGAAAGAAGGCTTGAAAAACTTAACACTCGCAAGGTGCACATCAATCAAGAGAAACAGAGGTAAGCAGCGAGTCGCTTGCTTCACAAGTTTGAGTAAATGGTTACATTAAATTACGTTACGGGACAACGAGTTATCTCCAGTGAACTTTACCCTTTACTGTTCGACATGTCAAGCCTTGGGTTATTTAATGTCAAATGTTGTGTGAAACACCATGTGAGAATCCAACTCACTACTCAGTAAAAATGACAAACTAGACTTGATAACCAATGCTCAACACCGAAGCGCATTTAAGACAAACAGATCGATAAAAAATGAAACAAAGGAGTAAATATTGCAGAGAGAAACAAAAAGGAAGCTGTGGAGAGCCATACTGATAAAAATTAAATTGTGTTACAGCGAATTGTTGAAATCATTATTTAACTGCAGCAGCATTTGATGCGTCTAGAGAAAAAAGCTAGAATGAGGAAGAACGTCCCACTTCAAGCTATTTTTACAATGATCTTTATCTTGTACAAGGCCCAAGGGCCACTCGATGTAGAAGGTTAAAGATTAAGAGATACCACCACAAGCAAGGAGATAAATACCATCAAGGCGCAAGGGGCCACCGGAAATGAAAGAGAAAGAAAAGACTTTAGAAGGAACCGGAAACCCAATCCTAAAAGAGCAAATACCCTTAGGAAAAGTATGAATCCGCCTCTTCTCACCCTCACCTATGGGTTAATTAGTAACACTTGTATCATTAAAATCATTATTATCTCCGCCTACCAAAAACAAAAAAAGAAAAAATTCTTGCAATCTAAAAAATATTTTCTTACTTTGCATAAATAATATAATAGTAATATTTTTTTTATTAGTTTAAAATCTGTTGAATCCATCCCCGTTCTATGAATGTAACCTTGTGCCAAAGATACAGCGTCTTCTGGGTAAGACTGTAAACTACATCCGATAACAAGGCCTTTGATCAGGAGGTTTTGAGGAACATGACCCCACATCTTAATTGCTCTTGTAGCACCAGTCAGTGTCCCAGCTATGGGCAAACAGTTAACCCCCACCCAACGAAAGTATAAAAATAGGTTTTAATACCAGCAATACTTTTTTTTTTATCAGTAGTACATTTTTGAAAAAGAAAAATATTACCAGTAATACATTTTGAAAAAAAAAAAAATTACCAACAATACATTTCTGAAAAAAAAAAAATTACCAGCAATACATTTCTGGAAAAAAAATTACCAACAACACATTTCTGGAAAAAAAATACGAACAATACATTTCTGGATAAAAAGCAATAAAAATCTTGCCGGCATTAAATAACACATTGCGATTGAACCCTGCCGTAAAACAAACCAAATCAAAGGTAGAGCTATCGTCTGCTTCTTTGTTTTTTCTTTTCTTTTCAGTCCATCAGCAATTTTACCAAGACTGTAACACTGACCAGCGGAATCGGCGAGGAAATGCGCTTCTCAGTTAGTGTCTGGGCACACCATAATTCCTTTCTTCCTGTTTTTACAATTCCAAGGACATTCCAGCCATTATATTCCGAGCACTAAAATATTCCAGCCTCAATTCTACTCAAGCAATTTTTAAAAAAATAAATGATTCAATATACAGGGTGGTCCGAAAGTCCTGTCACCATTACATAATATAATGATTTTCCAAGCGTAGCTTAGATGTGGCACAAGGCCGACAGTATGGGGCACTCAGTGAGTATCGGACTCACTACTCAGTCGTAATTGTTCTGGCTAGACAAGCTTGTTAACCATTAGACCGCCTTGAGGTAACCATCCTTATATAATATAATTTTCTATTTCAGATCACTGACACTAAAATGATGGTCTTCATACCGAACTTTTCGGTGTGTGACAGCGTCAATGAAAATGAATAAAATAAATCCAGTACATGTGCTTTGTATTAATGTATTACTTGTTCTTCTATTGTTCTCATCATCCTGTATTTATAAGGCCTTTATAAAGTTATGTTTCGGAATTTGTTTTGTTTCATAAAATATCAGATGAAGCTAAATAAATAACGAAACATGTTGATTTCATAAAAAAATGATCTATTTTCAAATTATATATTTTAGTACAAATGTTCTTTTTAATCTTTCATCTTTCAACGTTTTTAGCCAAGAGTTGCTGTTTTTCTAAGTAATCTAAAAAGACACGTCCTGAAGCGACACAGATGGATATTAATGGATTTATAAGTAACCAATAATTAATACTGGAATTTTTTTTTAAGAAACCCATGATTAATAGCGGATTTTTAAGAAACCTATATTTTGTAGGGCTTTTTTTTTTAGAAATCTATAATTAATACCAAATTTAAAAAAAAAACATATTTAATAGCGAATTTCTTTAGAAACTTATAATTAATAGCGGATTTTATTTAGAAACCTGTAATTAATAGCGGAATTTTTAGAAACCTTTAATTAATAGCGGATCTTTTAGAAAGCTATATTTCGTAGGGCATATTTTTTAGAAATCTATAATTAATACCAAATTTAAAAAAAACATATTTAATAGCGAATTTTTTTAGAAACTTATTATTAATAGCGGATTTTATTTAGAAACCTATAATTAATAACGAAATTTTTAGAAACCTGTAATTAATAGCGGATCTTTTAGAAAACTATAATTAATAACAGAGTTTTTAAAAACCTATAATTAATAGTGCATTTTTAGAAACCTATAATTAATACCGGGTTTTTTGAGAAACATAATTAATGATTATTTTAGTAATCTATAATTCATAGCGAATTTCTTTAAAAACTTATAATTAATGGCAGATTCTTTTAGAAACCTATAATTAATACCAGAGTTTTTAAAAACCTATAACAGTGCTTATTTTAGAAACCTATAATTAATACCGGTTTTTTTGAGAAACATAATTAATAGCGGATTATTTTAGTAATCTATAATTAATAGCGGATTTTATTTAGATACCTATAATTAATACCGTTTCTTTAGAAACCTGTAATTAAAGGCGGGTTTTTTAAAAACTTATAATTGTTAGCTGATTTTTAGAAACCTATAACTATAGTGGATATACTTTAAAAACTATAATTAATGCTGGATGCTTTTTAAAAACCTATAATTCGCTCCTGCTTTGAATATTGCTGCCGCACAGGTCTGCTGCTTCTGCTATGGATTTATAGAGTTCTGATAAAATACAAATAATCTGCAATATTATTTGTCCTGACCTGACATCTCAGCGCAGTCACTTCCCCACGGGCTGTAACGTAGTTTCGCTTTGGCTTTTCTACAAATACTTTCATCGTAATTCTTCTGATGAACTTTTTTCTATGAATTCAAATTCTGATTACTAAATCCAGTCGAATCCATTACATTCACTTACATGCTAATACCCTTGGGAAAGGTATGTATCGTTTTCTTCCCCCCCCCCAGCTACGGGTAAATAGCAGGACAGACCGGATTCGGTATCCTTGGAAGGTAACTAGTCCACCGCAGAAAAAATGGTAACCTACTGCGGAAAAATAATCTGCCTCGTCAGTCATGTATCGAAAGATACATGATCGCCTAAGCGTGTATCACGCATGGCACATAACTGACTGGTTAGATCGGCGGTAAGATCATATCATTCTAGAGTCGAAATGGCTATATGTAACCGTAAGTTCTATGCTAACAGGTTCTTCTTTCGTACTTCTCGTTTGTGGAACTCCCTTCCGGTTTCTTTGTTTCCGGTCAAAATTTATTCTTCAAAAAATTTAAATGAAATGTCAATTGTTATCTTTTGTCTTCTTAATTCCTGTTCATTTATTGTTCTCTTTCTTTAATAGTGTCTTTAACTCATATCCTCTCACACTCTAGTAATGCATTGCATCTTAGTGGCTTTATCGCCTTGCTTGGGGTGAAATGATTAAAAGTAAAAAGAAAAAAAAGCCATTGAAAGACCTCATAGGCACCGTCAAAAAGAGACAGTTAGAATACTATGGACAAGTCATCGTTTTACTTCCAACCTTCGAGGTGCCACCTTAACCAAAAAGAAGAGGCCGAGAGAGGGAAAACAGGTTGACAACGTCACTGAATGGAGTGCAAGATCCTTCACAGGGGCTCAAACAACGCAACCGAGACGTTGCTCCGAGGACCTGCATTCGCTGGTTCCCAGACTTCATGAATTCAAGCGCCCTACGAGGCTGGCATCCTGCTCCCAGCCTTTCACCGTCGAAACTACTAAATGTAGCCGTCTCTTCTACTCCAATAGCTTCATGTCTCGCACCTCACGCCTGTGGAACTCCCTTCCCTATTCCAGTTTCCCTGAGAGCTATAATCTCCAGCTATTCAAATGTAATGTCAATCGACATCTCCAGTTGCCTTGATCTATCCACTATCCTTCTCCTCATCCTTTCCTCTATCACTCCCTATCTGATCTTGCTCCAAATCTTCTGTCACCCCTTGCGTCCTAGTGGCTTCTCGCCTTGCTTGGGGTGAAATGCTTAAAAATATATATATATATATATATATATATATATATATATATATATATATATATATATATATCGGAGAAGCTGGTCAGGTGCTCAGCCGAGGAGCGAGCCTACGGCTATACCTGATCAAGGGACTGATGATGATGATGAGGAGGATGATGATAATGGTAGCGACGACGAATTGGATCATTCAGTAGTTTACGGTGGGGGTCTTTTCGCGATCATAATGACGTGTACAGCTATGACTGTACTTTCTGATAAACAATCTGGATAATTTAGAAATACTACTTGTTGTTGTTGTTGTGCTTCTTCACTGCTTTGATTCTTCGTGTTTCCTCCTCCTCCTCCTCCTCCTCCTCCTCCATCCTCATCATCATCATCGTCAGTCCTATAACCGAGACTCTTCATAGAGTCAATGCTCAGCGGAACACGCGAGCAGGTCACTTCACATGTCTCAGTACATATTCATTCATGCGTAGCGTGTCTTGGGCAAATTAGATCTGGCGGAGACTATCCCTCTCCTAGATTTAAATTATGTCAATACCTAAAATTAATATTCTGTTTGCCTCGGGGTTCTTGATAGGCTCCAGAAGCGGATATGCAATATGGTTGGCCCTGCCCTGGCGTCTCGTCTACAGTCACTTTCTCACAGACGCGCCGTCGCCCCCCTCTGTCTGTTCTACAAATACTTTCATGGAAATTGCTCCGAGGAGCTGCATTCGCTGGTTCCCAGACGTCATAAGTTCCAGCGCCCTACGAGGCTGGCATCCCGCTCTCACCCCTTCACTGTCGAAACTCCTAAATGTAGCCGTCTCTTCTACTCTAATAGCTTCATGTCTCGCACCTCTCGCCTGTGGAACTCCCTTCCCTTCTCCTGTTTCCCTGTGAGCTATAATCTCCAGCTATTCAAATGTAATGTCAATCGACATCTCCAGTTGTCTTAATCTATCCACTACCCTCATCCTTTCTTCTATCACTCCTATCTGATCTTGCTATTTGCTGTAACCCCTTGCATCCTAGTGGCTTCCCGCCTTGCTTGGGGTGAAATACTTAAAATATATATATATATATATATATATATATATATGAAGAAATATAGTCTTAAAATGTGCTATATTTATGGGATAAAGTGAACATAGAAGTCAACATTCGTGGCCTGATGGTTGCGTCTAGCATGAAACAGACTGTCCCCTGTAAGTGTTGACTTCTATATTCACTTTTATATTTATTATGGTAATATATATATATATATATATATATATATATATATATATATATAGAGAGAGAGAGAGAGAGAGAGAGAGAGAGAGAGAGAGAGAGAGAGAGAGAGAGAGAGGAGTTAAGTGAAATTTTTTCCTGCCATTTGGAATATGAATGAAACTACGGTGATTCAATTCCGTGGAATACTATCATGAAACCCTTGCTCAGAAAATTTCATGAGACTTCCAGGAAATTTAATCACCATTGCTTCCTTCATATTCCAAATGCCAGGAGAAAGTTGAACTTGAACTTTACCCCAAAACTTAACCTCTTCAACCCAACGGTCAGTCATTATCTGTCCTCCTTAACATAATAATATTCACTTCCTACAACCTCTTACATTCATGTTACACACGTCATTCAGTAACCAACTTACTTTGAGAGGTCCTAATTTCAAAAATGCTTCGACGGAATTTTGATGGGTTGAATCTTTTATGCACTTAAAATTCTAGTGTACCTCTGTTCCATTTGTTTTTTTTTCTATAATATTTATCAAAATGTTTTTCTTTAATATTTCGCAAATTTACTTTAATAATTCTTTAATATTTCTTTAATATTTAAAAAAAAATTTTCTTTAATATTTCTGTAATATTTTTTTAAATATTTCTGTAATATTTCTTGTTCTTTTCTGCATTTGATTTCAGCAGTTGAAGTCGTGGTATTCTCTCTGGTATACTATCCACAGAGCCATCACCATTTGAACTGTGTTTTACTGCAGTAAATCAGTTTCCTTCTCTCTTGTTCGTCTCTTTCTAATATCTTTTACATCTGTTTATACTTCATCATGTCGGCAAATGCCTAAAATGCCTCCGCCGTCGTAACTTGATTCATGGTCGGCTATGTTACACGATAAAGCTTCATCACTCTTGCATATTGTCTGCGTGTCATGCCCGCCAATTTATATATCGCCATTGTTGTTCATCATTGCTTCATATACAGTCTTCAACAGACAGGCGAGCGAACGCACGCAGGCACAACACACGTGCATACACAAAATCACAAACGCACACACCATTTGTTTTTCAACAAACATTTTATGTCATTGCATTGGCGTTGCTATTGGATTACAAAATGCTCCGACATTTTTATCATCGACTTCATATCACTGAACATCTGAGATTTCTTTTGATTTTCACTCACCTCGTGATCATTTTCTTTCTTTCTTTCTTTCTTTCTTTCTTTCTTTCTTTCTTTCTTTCACATTTGCTCCCACTTTCTTTTTCCATATTTTTCTTTCTTTCTTTCTTTCTTTCTTTCTTTCTTTCTTTCTTTCTTCATCCTGCTTGTTATTTTCTTATGAAGAATTCTTTCTTTCTTTCTTTCTTTCTTTCTTGCTTGCTTGCTTTCGTTCTTTCTTTCACATTTGCTCTCACTTTGTTTGTACTACAATATTCTTCGTTTTTTTTGTTTAATTTGTTTGTTACTTTCACATTTGCTTCCATTTTGTTGTCACTATAATCTTTCTTTCTTTCTTTCTTTTTTAGATGGTCTTTCTAGTCCCTTTTCCCTTTTCATCGTCTCAATTTCCCCTTGTTTCTTTTTTAACCATTTCCCCCCAGGCAATGCAATAAATCCACTAAGACGCAAGCATGCGGGTTATTGAGTGCGAAAGAGTAAAAGAAAAAGAAAAAAGCATCAATAAAGAGAGAGAACAATAAAAGAAGAGGAATTAAGAAGTCAAAAGATAACGATTGACATTACATTTAAATTTTTGAAGATCAAAGTTGTCTGGAAAGCAAGAAACCAGAATAGAGTTTCATAAGTGGAAGTGCGGGTGAAGAAACGTTTAGCATAAAACTTACGGTTTCATCTAGCCATTTCAACAATAAAATGATGAAATCTTACCACTAATCTAGTACTGCACTTAAATTCGTATAGTCGAGGTGGCAAAGAGGAAGGCTCACCAGAACAATTACTATGAAAATATTTATAGAAAAGGCACAGAGATGTCGAGTCAGGACCGAAAATATTGCAGATTCTTCTTTGCCCGTTATCATGCAACTTTAAATATACAGCCGAAGCATCAGACCATATAGGACAGCAATATTCAAAGCATGAAGATAGAAATATATAAAATAGATCCTAGCGAGACAAATTGTCTAGCACAGTACAGTGAAACGACATTCTTAGCAGCAGGCATAGCATTTGATTCAATGCAATCTTTCCATTTCATGTTCATGGAAACCATAAGACCGAGAAGACGTAATGAATGTCTGCCCTGGAAGTTAGTATCAGTCATTCTCATGGAAGACAAAAAAGTTGTCTAAGACGATTAAAACGGATCATTTTTGTTTTGGAGGTGTTAAAATTCACAAGCCATTTCTTGCACTAGTTAACAATCGATTGCAGTTTTTTTTTTTTTTTTTTATAGATCAGCTGTAAATTTGAACAATGATATATCTACATTTAAATTTTGACTGGGGAAGAAGAAGTCGGAAGAGAGTTCCACAAGCGAGAAGTGCTATAGAAGAAACTGTTGGTTACATTTAATCATTTCAACTGTAAAATGATGAGACCTCGCCGCCAATCTAGTACTGCACTTAAAGTCATAAGAGTAAAGTTCATCAGAACAACTGCCATGAAAGTAGGTATAGAAAAGGCACAGGAAAGCTTTGTTCGGGCGTTAGAAAAAAGACTGAAGCCGTGATGCCAGGAGGGGACCAATAGCATTGCAGATCACTCTTTGGATTTTATCAAGAATCTCTAAATATATAAGTAAAAGCACTAGACCATAGGTGGCAGCAATATTCTAAGCATAATTGGATGATAAACTTATAAATATATAAAATAGATTCTAATGAGAAAAATTGTTTAGCACGACACAGTGAAACAACTTTCTTAATAGCAGACATAGCAATTGATTCAACAATAATCTTTCGATTATATGTCAGCGGAAAATGTTAGTCCGAGACGGCATAATGAATCAATCTCCTAAGGGTTAGCATCAGCCCTGCTGATGGGGAGCTAAAAAACGTTCTCTAAGGCGATTAAAAGAGAGCGGTTTCGTTTTGGAGGCGTTAAAATTAACAAGCCATTTCTTTCGTAAATCCGTAACACGAGCAGAAATAGAAAAATCAGGCATAGCTGACCACATATGGAGAGAAAAGGGAGATCCCCACCTCCTGTGGGACGGGGTTGAAATACTAGACAAACAGCGTCACTGAAAAATACGAAAACTTAAGGAATCAGCTTATATGCTAGGCCACAAAAATCTCCTAAGCCGGACAAACAATAGAAATAAATGCAATATGGCAACCAGTAATACCGAGTGCTAGAGAAAAAAACAAAACAAACAATTATAACAACAAAATTGCAATATGAACTCTGATAAAAAATGATTACGTTTATAAGTCCCAAAATTTAATTCATACGCTGATGTTCTCAAGGACACATGGCCCAGTGGGTAAAAGAGTTGGTTGGATCCAGTGACTTAATCCAAAGTAGTTGTGAGTTCAATACATGGCTACGGCAGGGGTGAACAAAAACTTGGAGAATTGAGTTAAAGGAAGATAACTAAGAAATCCGGAAGAGGCATGGCACGTAGAATTAGAACAATCAGTTCGAAATTCCAATCACCTGAAGCAGACCGGAGCGTACAATGGGGCATGGCAATAAAGATGAGTACAACAGCCCGAATAATGTAAATAATTACAATACTTCCTCTCAGAAATATAGACAGCTAATCCATTTCTTACCCAGTTAACAACAGATTGTAGGTCATTTCTGAGGTCAGCTGCTAATTTAACCTTTCGAACTGATCATATTTACTATGAAGAAAGGAGTAAATAGTTGTGTAAATAGCAGAGATGCCAAGTTGAGAATTGATGACATCAGTTGATGAAAATTTGGAACTATGTAGACCCAAGGATAAAGGGTCCTTGGAGATTCCCGCATTAACGCAAACATATGTAGAAAATGGCCGTTCAAGACAACTTTGATTTCGCGATTTTATAAGATTGCATGAAATGAAAAATTCGTCCATAACCTTTCAACTTGGCAAGAAGACCAACATACCAAAGCAACAGCCTGAGCTTCACCAGTCTTATCTAAAGCTTGACATATTCTTTCAGCAACAATCGTCAATATATCAGCAGTTGATCTAGAGAAGCGAAAACCATATTGCTTGTTTGAAAGAAGAACCAGGTAGGTTATATTCTTAATCAATTCAGAGTTGATTAGAGCTTTTAAGATTGGTTTGGTTTGGTTTGTTTTATGGTATATCAACCTCAATGGGTTATTTAATGCCGACAAGATTTTTGTTTTCCAAAAATGTATTGCTGCTAATATTTTTTTCTTCAAAAATGTATTGCTGGTATTAAAACCTATTTTTACACTTTCATAGTATTTTGACCCCAGTTTGGAGGTCCACTACTAGCCCATAGCTGGAACCCTGACAGCTGCTACCACCCATGGTTACGGTAGATTGGGACCACCCGCAATTAAAAGGTGGTTCCACGTTCCTCAAAACCTCCTGATCATAGGCCTTGCTGCCGGGTGTAGTTTATCGTCATACTCAGGACGCGGGTGTAGTTTATCGTCATACCCAGGACGGAAAGCCTTTTGGACTTTACTAAAAAGAGGCAGAAGGCTAATAGGCTGGTTGTTGGAAGAATCGGATGATCTGCCTGACTGGAACTACAGAAGAAGATTTCCAACAAGCAAGAATCAACAAAGCGGTTATTGTAAAGTTTATAGAGAACGGGAGCCATTTCAAGAGCATATTACTTAAGGACCATAGCAGAGATACCATTAAATCCACGTGCTTTGTGGCAATCCAGTTTACAAAAAAAATGGACGGGGCTATATGCATACCACACAGTAGAGACTCAGTTCTAAGTGGAAAGTCAGGCACAGATACTTGATACCTTAGATGAGCCAAGAGGAGAGTTGGAAGAAAATTTACAAGCAAAACAGCTGATGATAACACTTCAAATTGAGTGAAGAGAGACAGTCAAATGTCATTCTTTCGTTATTTTTTACTTTTCATTTGTTATATTAATCTATAATGGATCACTAATCTATATTTTTCGCTTACTTACTTAATTAGCATATACTCATATACACTGAGAGACTTTTAAAGTCAAGATTTTTCATTGAAAAGATTTCCTTTAAGAGTAGGAGATACCAAAACAGTACAACTCTTTCAAAGTATATGTGGGAACAGAGGGTCCATTTGTGGACAAATGGTTGAGACAGGGAAATTTGTGTTGAAATGTGATAAAGAGAAATTAAACACAGATGCGTTCATTGACTGGAACAGAGTATTGAATAATATGTCAGAAGTGTTCCCTACATGTAAGCATGAAAGGCAGTTTCTATTGTGCCGTCTAACCTCTTCGGGAATAAATGATATGTGCTTTTTAGCAATTATCGAAGACCAAAAATATAATATGGCTTCTTATTTCAATTGCTTGTCTACTAGATGTTAATTTATGTTATTTGTAATATCTTCTGTGGATATATATATATATATATATATATATATATATATATATATATATATATATATATATGTGTGTGTGTGTGTGTGTGTGTGTGTGTGTGTGTGTGTGTGTGTGTGTGAAAAGTGTGTGTATATAAATATAAATATATATATATATATATATAATTATTTATATATTACATGCGCGGTGCTTATTAGAAAGTGCTCAATATCAGAGATAGAGTTAACATATTTGGTTGCATTGATGTGAGTTTGTGACCTTGGGTTTCACGCTTTAGCGATCGTCAGACAAACTGATTAATGTTTTAAAAAACAAAAAATCAGAGATAATCTCCAAATGTAGGCATGAGAACAAGTACCTATTATCCGAATTTATACCAAACGGATGAAAAAAAGGAAAAAAGACAAATCACCAACAATTACAATTTAATTCAAGCTACCATCACAATAACTACATTTATCGTTATCGTTATTATCATTGCACCATTATTAGTAACCACTTCTACCACTTTACAATAACTATTAACTACTAATATTATCATTACCACCAACACCCAACACCATTACTACCACATCACATCTACTATTAACATATAAACCCACTATAATTATTAACGTAAGTTACTCCCCCACCCCAGCATATTTAATACCACCAAATAAAAACCAATAAGATCAGAGATAATTTCCAAATGTAGGCATGGGAATAAATACCTATTACCAGGATTTATACCAAAATAAATAAATATATATATATATAGAGAGAGAAAATAAAATAAAACACCAACAACCACTCTTTAGTTCAAGCTAGCACCACAATAATTACATTTATAGGTTTTTTTTTATCATTCTCCCACCACCATTACTATTCACTTCTACCAATTTACAATAACTATTAGCTACTTATATGATCATTGTCTCCAATCCCTCTACAAC